GGTGGTCCAGGATGGGGTGGGGCCGCCGGTGGGGGTCCGGCTACCGCAAAGACTGAGCAGTTTGGCAGTAGCTGCGCCTCCCTTTTCACCGCCCCCCACCCGGTGGGGGTCCGGCTACCGCAAAGATGTGTGTGTGTGTGTGTGTGTGTGTGTGTGTGTGTGCCAGTCTCGTCGAACACTCACTCACTCATCAAAAGGCTGAATCTCTACTGTGTGTGTGTGCGCTGATGTGTGTGCTCTTGCTGTTGTTTTTCCTTGCGCAGGAGGAGGGGAGCTTGTTAACGATTGATTGAATAGCGTGAATTGTTATGAATCCGGCCTTATGTTCATCAGTGCACGGACGGAATTGAACCGGCACCCTCAGCCACAAGAGCCAAGTCTCTTAAACCCTACACCCGCCACACGGTATTACTGTATGTGAGTGGTCTCAGAGTCTGGTCGCACCATACGAATTCTCTGTGGGGGGCTGGCTACGGATGCCACCAGTTTCTGCATGCGATCACTTGGAGGTTCAGTCGCCCAGTGGATGAATTGAAGGGGGGGGAAAGTTGCTTCAGGCTGCGGCCGGTCTGGTTTAGAGATCCCATAAGTTCTTTTTTTTGGCTTTTTTTTCCCCAAATTTAGACGATCAAATTAAATTAGGACCGCAAAAGAGTGTGAAGCAAAGATACGATAGTCAAGGTTTCCCTTAGCTCGCTGTGGATTCCTTCGCTGTGGAAGCTTATACACACACGTGCAGCCTCCTCCTCCTCCTCCTCCTCCTCCTGCTCCTCCTCCTCTTCCTCTTCCTCTTCCTCCTCTCGTCTTTCTCCCCCTCCTCATCATCTGTCATCTGTCATTATCATCACATCATCATCATCATCATCATCATCATCATCATTATCATCATTATCATTGTTGTCCTCCTCCTCCTTATCGTCATTACATTACGGACTACGACAGGTTGAGGAGCATCTTCGTTTCCACATCATCATCATCATCATCATCGTTTCCACTGCAGTGAGATAAAGCATCTGAAACGTTTCAGGATATACACGAGTTGGTGTTTTTTAATCGTTTTTAAAGTTTTTTTTTGCATTTTTCTTCCTTCCATTTTCACATATTTTCTCGTGGTCCATTAGTTGTGTTCCTTCCCTTGCTCGACTAGTTAGTGGACTGGGGATCTATGTAGAGTCGCAGAAAATTGTGGATATCAGTTGTGTATAGTACTATAATGAGTCGAATTGTGGATGGTTCTATAACTGTCACAAACAAAATAAAGGATGTTCTCACAAAGATTAATTAATTCAGAGATCCAGAAAATACTTAATCGTCATGACAATTAATTCAATTTAATTGCTTATTATGTACATGATTGTTTTCACGTATACATATGTATATATGTATATAGATATAGATATGGATATATGTGGACATGTCTCTGTTTAACGATATATATATGTATATATTGTCACAATAAACACATGTGTATTTGTCGCAAAGAAGGTCGTGGAGAAGCTTTGTCTACTATTCACTCTTCTTGTCCCTTACACACCTACTAATCAAAACAAACAAAGAAACAAAGAAACAAAGAAACAAAGAAACAAACAAAGAAACAAAGAAAGAAACAAAGAAAGAAAGAAACAAAGAAACAAAGACAGAAACAAAGAAAGAAAGAAAGAAAGAGAGAGACAGTCTAGTTCTCTGTTACATACCTACTAATTGAAAAGAAAGACAGACAGTAAGAAAGAGAGAAAGGAAGAGAGATCGAAACAAAACAAATAAACACAATACCAGTTTATTATTATCTTTTTTTTTAGAAAAAAAAGAGTTCCGTTGTCTGTTACACACAATACCTACTAGTTGAAAAAAAGACAGAGAAAGAAAGAGAGAAAAAAAAAGAGAAAGAAAGAGAGAAAGAAGTGAAAGAAAGAAGTGAAAGAAAGAGAGAAAGAAAGAGAAAGGAAGAGAGAAAGAAAGAGAAAGGAAGAAAAAAACAAACACAACACGAGTTCCTCCCCACCTTTAAGAAAAAGAGAGAAAACCAACCTGAATTTTCCTTGAAGAAGAGAGAGAGAGAGAGAGAGAGAGAGAGAGAGAGAGAGAGAGAGAGAGAGAGGAAGAAAGAGGGGATGGTGGGTTCGATGGCAGATGATACTGTTCCACGGACGTCCCAAAATATTATACAGAAGACAAGAAAAAGAATGTGCGTGTATTGCGGCCATCATTCCGGTTTGTCTCCTGACTATGGCAAGGCAGCCATGGAGCTAGGGAAAGAGCTGGTCCGCCGGGGGATCGGCCTCGTCTATGGGGGCGGCAGTGTCGGGATCATGGGTGTGCTATCGAGGGCAGTGCAGGAAGGAGGCGGTGACGTCGTTGGCGTCATTCCCGAGGCACTTACGCCTATCGAGCTCTCAGGACCGATGGTGGGGACCACCATTGTCGTTCGTACCATGCACGAGCGCAAGGCCAAGATGGCCAGCTTGGCGGACTGTTTCATCGCGTTGCCCGGCGGCTATGGAACGCTGGAGGAGCTGATGGAAATGCTGACGTGGTCGAACTTAGGCTTTCACAGCAAACCCGTGGGAGTGCTGAACGTAGTCAATTACTACGATCCTCTCTTGCAGATGTTTGATCGGATGGTCACCACGGGGTTTCTCTTGCAGGCTCAGCGGGACATCATCATCTGTGAATCCACTCCTTCGGGGCTCATAGACCAACTACTGCTACGGGGAGGAGAAACAGCAAGGGACGGCGGTCAGCCGCCTCTACCGACGAGACCCATCTTGCCTTCTCATGGCGGTGAATCCTTAGGAGGCGGCGACAACGACGGCAATAATGAAAGTAAGGGCACATTGACTGTCCCTCGTCATGCTGAAGAAACTGGCACATTGACTGTCGCTCGTCATGCTGAAGAAACTGGCACATTGACTGTCCCTCGTCATGCTGAAGAAACTGGCTGTCAGTACAGAGAAGATAAGGCAACCTAGCAATGATATGATAATGGAAGTAAGGGAGGAGGTGCGAGGTGGAGAGGGATCTATCTCCAAAACCTCCTGATGTCGTAGGATCAAATCCTATAGAGCGTGTTTTATTATAGATAAGATAGAATGAATAGGATATTAAATTCATTGATATAAATAATATATAATAAAAAATTTATCGTTTTTTTTTTTTTTTTGGGGGGGGGGGGGGGGGGGGGAAAGGTTTTTTTAAAAAAAAAAAAAAAAAAAAAAAAAAGGTCCCCTTTCTCCATCCACTTGTCAGGAAAACCTACTTTTTGTACAGTGTACAGTTGCTGTCTCTTATACACATCTAGATGTGTATAAGAGACAGGTTATATGTGGAGTCATCGAGGAACACTTCTTCGATTAGGAGGATGATCTCGTTATCTGTGGAAAAGGTAGGGCAGACCACCAATATATGCCTTGNAGAGAGAGAGAGAGAGAGAGAGAGAGAGAGAGAGAGAGAGAGAGAGAGAGAGAGAGAGAGAGAGAGAGAGAGAGAGAGAGAGAGAGAGGGGTAGGGGGAGATGGGCCAGGGCAAATCCTTTTCTTCTTTTTTCTTCTTTTTTTTCCATATGATTAAAAAATATACAGCTGTCTTCTCCTCATACGGGGGACAGTTGTATTTTGTACCTGCCCTATTTTCCTGTTATGTACCCGATTGAATTTCCGTCCACAACGAATTCACACGTTCCCATACACGCATGCAATTACAGAGTAGACTCGGAGGAGGCAAATCCACACAAAACCGGAGCGAGAATATGCACAGCGGAAGCTCAAAACACACAGAGATTCTGAATTGGAAAACGAATTTCAATTGTCGTCGTCCTCCAATCAATCCAGAAGAGTACTTGTTCCAAGAATCACAACCGCGTTTACAACAACCCCGAACAACCAAAAACAAGACTGTGTTCAACGAATCATGCATGCAGGAGTCTTCTTCTTCTTCCTCCTCGCCACCTCATACCCCTCAGGCTGGCTATGGTTGCTGCATGTCAGTGCAAGTCGGTAGGTTGACCCAACCAGCAGAATACACCAAACTTCTGTATGTAGGCTGATTTTCTGTGCAAAATCATTCAACTTGGCTTGTGAGTGTAGAGCAAGGAGGATTGCGGGATCCTCAATCTTTTTCCTCTTCGAATCTATGGCTGATATTTTTTGGGTTGGGGCTTTAAACTTTAAAGTTTAAAAGTGAAAAACACACTCACTTGTCGAGCCAGTTCGTATTCAAACATGGGCTCACCCCACAGCTTGGCCACATAGACTTTTGTGGTCAGCTGGTCACGCTCGTCCAACAGCCAGCTCCTATGTTGCAGATTTCTATTACATCAGCAACAGCAGCAAATCAACAGCAGCAGCAGAAATCAGCAATCAACAGCCGTAGCAGAAATCAGCAATCAACAGCAGCAGCAGCAGAAGCAATCAACAGCAGCAGCAGCAGAAATCAGCAATCGACAGCAGCAGCAGCAGCAATTAGTTGCAAGAGCAGGAGCAGAAATCAGCAATGGACTTGAGCCAGGACCGTAAGGCCCTGTTTTAACTATAAAGGGGGATTTAAAAAAAATAAAAAAAATCAGCGATGGCCTGCAGCAGCACAGATAGTAGCTGCAAAAGCAGCAGCGGGAATCAGCAATCAATGTTCTTTGGGACAACCGTGAAATCCGGAATGATACAGAGAAGGAAGATAAGCATGGCCCCTGTGCAAGGATGACACGCGTAAATCGAGAGAATCAGCAATCAACTGCAGCAGCAGAAATCGGCAATCGGCAATCGGGAATCGGGAATGGGCAATCGGGAATCAGCAGTCAACTGCAGCAGCAGCAGCAGCAATTAATTGCAATTTGCAAGAGGAGCAGCAGAAGGGAGCAGTAGACTGCGGCATCAGAAATGAGCAATCACCTGCAGCAGCAGGAAAGCATAAATCAACACCAGCAACAGGAAAGAGCAACCTACCGCAGAAGTCATTCAATCACTGCAGCAGCAGAGAAAATCGGCAATCAAGTGCAGCAGTAGCATTTTTAATTTTTAATTTATTCATTTTTAATTCAAAAATGCCCCACTTGGGGCTTTCACTGACCCTCAAGGTTCCCCCAAATCTTACCTAGTTGAAGTTTAAACAGCAGTAGCAAAGTAGCAATTAGTTGCAAACGCAGCAACGGGACTCATCAATCGACTGCAGCGGCAGCAATCAGCAATAAACTGCCTGAGCGGAAACCAGCAGTCACAAGCAGCAGCAGCAGCAGCAATTAGTAGCAATCAGTAGCAAAAGCAGCAATTGCCTGTAGCAGTGAAAATCAGCAGCAATTAACTGCCGCAACAGAAATCAGCAACAATCAACTGCAGAAATCAGCAGCAATCAAGCGCAGCAGCAGTAACTGACTGCATAAGGCCTTATGACAGTGCTACAGACACTGGCTGACGCCCTCTCTCTCTCTCTCTCTCTCTCTCTCTCTCTCTCTCTCTCTCTCTCTCTCTCTCTCTCAGCAACTGGAGCAGCTATCAACTTTAACATTCTGACACTTTGCACGAGTGATCTTTCAGCTTCCCACTTTCATTGATTTTTTTCTGTTTTTGACACTTTTTGTTTATTTCCATAAAGTCCAGATTGCAGTAGAGGTTGGATGTGACCTTTTTGTTGTCCTAATCAGATCGCAAGTCGAGCCCTACAGTGGTGTGACCCAGACCTGTCCTTAGACCTAGTCCTATACCAACCGTGCCTTCTGAGGATCTCAGACGAGTGCCTCTGGGCGCTATACCATAGGGACACTCCGAGTTCTCGAGGACGCCCCGGACACAGGAGGGGTCATAGATATGTGGTCATCCCCACCTGTATCACATCTAGCACACTATGGGTGACTAACCACCCTTTTTTTTTTTTTTTTTTTTTTTTTTGTTTCTAACCACCCTTCTATTATCAATGTGACTACCACACCCTCCCCTGCCTAAGATGAGACCCCTACCCAGAGACCCTTCCCCAGATTCACGCCCCAATCGCCCCCCTCAATGGGAATGCAGACGGGTACCAGCCAGGGTGAAGCCCAGCCTGCAAGCATCCTAAGATCGACATTAGGCCCACCCTTGGAGATCATTTATGCCTAACACCCAACCCCTACCACTACTTAAGGGGGGTGTAGAGAGCAGGGCCGCAACGGGACCAGGATCGTGCAATGTAGGTATGGACTCTTGCGGGTATACAATGAGGCCGGGAAACTCCTACGGTACCCAGACACACCCATGATACATTCATGACACGCCCACGGAGCAGTGCATACAAACGAGGCGGTGCACACAGACAGGCTCACAATCTGTACACAAATTCCTATCGTGACCTAATCTAAACCTAACATCCCTATCCCAACCTAACTCCTCTACCCCGCCCATGGTGAGTCCACGAGACATGACCCAAAGATCATTAAACCACACGCCTCACACAACCCC